GTAGTAACGGTTTCATTATTGTTTTAATGGGTGCTACTCGACTGGTTTGTAGGCCTGTAGCTAAGGGCCAATTTTCAAGTTCTGTTAGCCTATAGCCGGTGACAAGCTAAGAAAAAAAAGTAAAGTGTATCACTGTCCAGTTGTATTATGCGCGTCCAACTGCAGCCGCTCATTACAATGATGTAAGAGGCACAATGAACCAATGACAAATTCAGCATGGTGCCATCCGCGGCGAGAGGCGATGTGCCGCTGCACAGAGACCGTCGGGCGTCCATCTGGTTTTATGGGGCATTTTCTTCGTCAAGAAGCTATATCATCCACTCGCCCTCACCATCATCGTGGTCGACTGTCATTCGATGCTGGCGTTTATGATTTTGTAGCATTTCGAATGCACGAAGTGGCAGAGCTTCATCGCGTTCCGTCGATTCGGCAGCGTGAAGCAGCAACACGGCGTCTATTCTCTGCGTCGCTAGAATGACCACTCTCAATGATTGTCGTCATGGTCATTCGTGTGCAGTAAGGTGACAGTGAAGTCTGAATGTGCAAGTGTGTGTTCTGTTGAATGTGCACGTCAGTGATTTACTGCCCGCCAAAGGTGCGGCATCAGCGTTACCGCATGTACGTGTGTGAGTGCGTTACTTGAGTGGCGCAACGTGAGAATCTGGGTGATTGTTTGCAATATGTGCTGTGTTGTGCACCCACATGAGTGTTATAAGTGAGCGAGGTGGGAGAAAAAAGCAATTGAGAGGACCAGCCAGCATCACACAGTTCTAACAGTAAACAAACCAGGTGGGGAAAATTTGCATTGGTGTATGCATTAAAAATTATGATTATTATATGTGAGGTTTAACGTCCCATTACCACCATATGACTGTGAGAGACACCGTGAAGAAGTGCTCCAGAAATTTCGACCACCTGAGATTCTTTAACGTGCACCCGAATTTGAGCACACGGGCCTACAAGATTTCCGCCTCCATCAGAAATGCAGTCGCCGCAACCGGGATTTGATCCCGCGACCAGCAGGTCAGCAGCCGAGTACCTTAACCACTAGACCACCGCGGCGGGGCGATATATGCATTAAAAAGCGAATTGTGGTCATCGTGTACACGGGTAATTATTTTTACATGTGCCAATTGGCACAGCTGCGTCATTTTAATGGAGTCTATTGCCACGCTCATAATTACATGCCAGATTGAAAAGTCCGTTGCATAAGCGCTTGTCTGACGCTCGAAGTACGAACACCTTGCAAGAAAAATGCTGTGCGTGGTTCTTCAAATTGGGAAAAGACGAGAGCTATGTAATATCGATGCATCGATCGTTATCAAAGCAGCGATCACGATCAATCACAATCAGTTACATTGATCGTGATCGTCACTGTAGCGACGCCGCTAAAGCTATTGTTGAGCAAAAAAAGAGAAAAACATTTCGTTTTTTAAGACACTGTATCATCCTTATTGATATCATATTGAAAGTCTTACGTTTTGTGTTGTTTTTTCATTTTGCCTGTATTGCGTGCATGTATTATGCATAGAGATAAATTGTTTATATTAAATTACAGTTCAATGAAAAAAAGGACTGACGCATTGCTCTCCCCTGTGAAAGCAAAGTCTGGCACGATATTCACTCGCATTTTCCGGAGAGAGAAAAACCCCTTGTCTGCAGAGACACACCTTCACACAGACACATTCATTGAACGTAGTGGCCCCTGTTGTAGCAAAACTGGGACCTGATTTAAGAAAGTTGAGTATTGAAGTGCTGACAGGTGATGGCAACACCTTAAAGTGCAAGTTGTCGAAGCAAGAAAAAAAAATTGTACCTACAGCTTTTAGTCGCCGCAACCTTAGCCGTGTACATCGCCTTGGCCTTTAACTTAACGACAATGTATGCAATGATACGTACTGTTAGACGCAAAATCTTCTGAGCCCTTTTATTTTCATAAAACAAAAACATGTCGAATGAAACATTGGAAATTATCTCAAACACGATGACGCGTAACGCACATTCGGTATTTAAGGCAGCACAAGAATCAAAATTCACAAAGTCAATCTCAGATCTCTTCTCCATTCTTCGCTTTAAGTCATGGTTTCCATAGTTACAGAAAACAGTGAGAAACCTGGCAGCGAAAGTTTCGTAAAAAAAATTGCAAACAACCTAATTAAATGTGAATATTGTCCCTGTTTCATTATGTGAAACTGCAAAATAACAGTTTCCTAATTGTTAACATTACATTAAATGTGGCATTATTTGTTTAGTACAACCTTAGGTACCATGCAGAAACATCCCCTTCGAGAGATGTGTATTGCTTCTTCATGGACTCCGAGATGAGCACAGTGAGGGGTGCGATTTAAACAACAGATATATTGCTGACGCGGAAGCCCGCGCCTTCTCACATTTATTTATCGAGCTTCAGATTCTGTATTTCAACGCCAATTAAGTCTTGTAAGGTAACAATTGCGTGCATAAAAATTATGGCCACTATATGAGAACTACTTCCTTTGTAGCACAGAGGCATGGAAAAAAAGGGCAATCAGGCCTCGTGGGTGGCGCCTATATTTATTCTTAGGTTGCCGCCGACTATAGTAGATAGGCTATTTAGTTGCTGCTGGTGAGCCTGCTGTTGTATAACTGTGTTAATTTGCTGCATAAAAGCCGCTCCTCACTCTTTAATTTGCACTCCCATGGTTTCCTTAATGTCGTTCATTGCCTTAATTTGAGTTTTCAGAGCTTCTTCAACTTTGCTTATTCGTGAATCTATGCATTGTTTAAATTCCTCTTAAGATTTGTGCAACATGTAAGTATTCTTGGTTTTCTTGTGCTTGCTAGTACCATCACCGTTGTTCTCTACAGCCTTACGTTTTGCGAGAGGAGAATAAGTGCTGTCCTCCATACTGGTTACGCTATCCTGTTATAATGATTGCGTCATTGCACTACACCATGCTTGTTCTGTAGTTGTGAATTTCTTCCCTCAATATTTTAATCTACTCCCTCATGCAGAATCATTTGCTTAACTTCTGCTAACTTTTCCTTGAGTTTGGCGACTTTCTGGTCAGAAGCAGCCTCCCCCTTCACGCGCGTCCTCTCGACCCTGTCTGCGCGGCTCACCCTGAGCGATGTATCGGCGCCGGGGTTTTGAGGTTCCTTGGCCCATGACTAGGAACGGTTCCTGGACCTTGAGCAGCTTTTCTTCTCATGCGACAAACTGGGGAAAAACTCTGATATGTTGTTCCTCACTGTGTAGGCGTGAGATGGCCTGTCTTGTGCTGCGAAAGACGTGTTCTCTTATTCTTGTCTGGCTCTCTCCCAGCGGTGTTTCCGCCCTAGGAATGGTGTTTTTTATCTTGCTTTGCAGGTTTGGTCTGCTGTGGGGTGGTCTTCGTCACACAGTTGGGACCTGGCCTTGCATTCGTGGCTTTCGGGAGGATTTGCCATGCTGCAGCTTTGGCAGATCTTGTCTTTAGGGTTACGGCAGACCTATGCCTCAAGCGTTCACAGTGGTAGCACACGTCTAGTTGTTTTCTGTACAACGAACATAGTAGCAATGCCCCACCGTACTTCACATAGCTTGGGATGCGGTAGCTGTCAAATAGTACAATCACATTGGTGGTGTTTCCAATTCGCTTGGCCACGAGTGCAGTTGGGTTTCTGGGACTTATGACGTTTGCTGATATCTCTCGGGCTATATCTCCTAGCGGTATTCTCCGTATCACTCTCTTGGAGGTGTTTTCTGGGGCTGTTTCATAAGCGCTGGCTTCAAATGCTTGCGTGCCTATTTTAATACAGGCAATTCGCTGGTGTCTATTGGCATGTTCTTCGGCAGGAGTGGTAACCACAACAATGTTTTGTTGGTAATTGAGGCAGACCATGTCTTGCTTTCGGACTTCCCTTGGTATATTGGCCCCTTGGCAGACGCTGTTGGCAATGTAGGCGGCACCGTGATCGCTGACGCAAGTCCCCCACAAGGTCGCACAATTATCTTGCAGTCTTACCTTAAAAGTGGCAGCATTCTGCTAGCTCTGGTGATTAGGCGAAGCCGTTGTTCTCTCAGTTTCTTGTTCTTTTGCCCTGTTGAATGCTGCTTGTCTGGTTGCTCTGGCATTTGCTCTGTAATCTTCTGCTGTCCCACTGTTTGCCATCCGTTATTATCCTCAAATTCTTCTTTCGAAACGCTTTCTCCCTTCACGGTCACTTCCATTTGGTCAAAAAACTCGACGTGCAAAGCGTGCAGGGCGCCACATTCTTCTTGATTCCTTGCGCCGCAGCGATGGCGGCGGTGTTTCCAACGAACGCTATAGAGGTGGCTTTTCTGCCGGCGTAGCAAATACAAAAATGGGCATAAAATGGTCAAATGTAAGTCCGCCCACCTAATTTTGTGTCAGGATGGTCGCAATGACTTGTGGCGTCGATTCGTAACGTGAAATCCGCTGGACATGGTGATTTCTGTCGAAAAGGATCCAGGAAACAGGGAGCCGACACGATGAGCGACTGCGTCTGCCGGGCGCTTCGAACGCTCTCCCGCGCACCGAGTTGTCACAAATACTTTTTATCTTCGTGCTTCAACAGCAATCTAAAGCAATAATAATATTTGTCGTGCTTTAACGTCCCAAAACCATAATATGATTATGAGGAATGCCAAAGTGGTGGGCTCTAGAACTTTTGACCACTTAAGGTTTTCCAACTTGCACCTCAATCTAAGTACACGGGTCTCAAGAACTTTCGCCTCCATCAAAAATACGGCTGCTGTGGCCGGGAGCAACCTAATGCAAATACAAGAATTAGTTGGGAATGATTAAGTGAAACAGCATAGGACATGCATTTTACAGATTGTAAGACAGTAGCACCACGTTAACTTACGCACCGCTCCGCTTTCGTATGTTGAAATGTAGCAGTAGATACTTACGGTGATGCATGCATGCATGGGGAAGAGAACCACTTAGGTAGCTTACATGTGCAGTGTGGCGGACAAAGCACTACTGCTCACACATTATAACCGAATCACTTACACAGATGGCCTTGTTGTCAACCAAGTACTTTTTCAGCAACTGCACCCAGAACTCCTTATCTCGCTTCAGCAAGCTCATGAATATGGGAATCTGGTTCAACCTGTTCCGCAGCTGCAATAAAAATTGCAATAATGTATTGGCAACAAAATGTCTGCAAAATATTGCAGTGGGTTTCATTTTGAAGTTTAACATTGCATGGCACTAGAATATTGCATTTGCATGCAAAAGTTGACTAAAAGTGTTCAGCATCACTCACATCTTCAGGTGTATTTCCGTAAAGGAAGTCGACAATGACAGTGTTTGCAATACTTTCATGTGGTGCGGATTCGATCTGCACATATAAGAAAGAAGTGCAAGTAATGAAAAAACAATAAAGTAATTCCTTCATTATACATCAACTTTCAGGACACACGGCTAACAAAATCCGCAAGCCCCACATGCCATGTCATAAATTAAAATTTCGAGAGCTCAATTTTTTTTATTGACTGGTAAAAGCAAACATAAAATTGATACTCCAGTGAATATTTGATAATCTTATTTTTCAAGGCTGGAAAAACAATTCTGAATTAACCAAGTGTGAAAGAAGAAACTGTAAGCAGAAAGTGCTTAATACAGAACTTTTCTTTCAACTTTTATTTCTAAACTTTTTATTTTTGTATAAAGATAACATTACATAAGAAAACTGGACCATGTACCACAATAAACACATGGACAGAAACAAAGATTTAGGGAAAGATATACACAGACACTGCTTTACTTTCTTTTGGGACTTTTCTGTGCTGTTACATCAATCCTACTTTCACACCAACTGACTTGCAAGCTTTTCACTGCATACTCTGAATTAGGGTGGGTGAACAAATCTTAAGAACAAATCAAATCGACTTACATATCAAATAATTTTTGAGGTTTTCAAAAAAAAAACTGCTTTAACGACTGCTACGCAAAGATCATGTCCTAGTATTCCTACTGTTAACAAGCTTCTGTCATTGTTGCAATACGCATAAAAAGGCATATATGAATCATTAAAGGGCCCCTAAACGACCCAGAGGTCGAATTTAAGTTATGGTGTTACAGTTATGCATCAGTCTACAATAAACACACAGCCACGACAAATTTTCAAAATGGTGTCTTAATACGTAGTTACATGCAATCGATGAGGAAATCCAAACCTCGCTCATTTCATTCTTATGTTGGCTTCCTCATATTCATTTAATCGTCTCTCCTGTGCTCAGAGTTCTCCTCGAGCAGCAAGGAGGAAGAGCAGCGAGCATGTATGCCTGCTAGTACACAAACTGGCTCTCACCGCTGGCTACACAACCGGATGTGCCTGACGACGTGATGACAATCAGTAGGAATATGGGAAGGTCCAAAGAGGAGCACAGGATTGTTTTTTTATTTTGTGGTACACCTGCTGCTCAAAATGCTGCCGCATTTAACATTTGTGAACATCACAGCATTCAAAACACAATGCGCCTGATTGCATGTAATATTAAAAAAGTAACAAAGGTGGTTTAGGGGCCCCTTCAGAACAAGCACGCAGTTTTAAAAAAAAACAGGAGTGGAATTCTGCACAACTTCAGTTTTCGCTTAATTTTGAAATGTTCCCTTTTCACTTCTACTTTCAGCCAGAAGTCAGCTCTTTGACTATAAAAGCTGGCTTTCTGGCAAGCTTATGAGTCAAAACCACACATTTAAAAACTGCACAAAGACCAACATGTACAAAATAAGGGGGAACATAGATCTTAATTAATGAAAAAATCACTTCAAAAATCAGTTTTTAGACAGCAGCACATTTGAAATCCGCATCCATTACTCTCGTATATGCAAAGTTTCTTGTCTCAAGTTAATATTTAAGCTGTAATATCAATTTAGAAACACATAGGGCACGTGATTTTGTTTGCCTCCATTACACTAAAACAACATTCCATGATGTTATGATGGCATTCCTCCGTCTTCTTCAGTGTCTACTAATTGTAGCAAACTCATTATTTTGCGAGTATGCATGTACAGGCTGTTTCCCACTTGGGAGAAGTCTCGGAGCGCATGGAAATCACAATGCAGCAAGCGCAGCAGCGACACGTCAGCAACAGCTCGCGTGTGTCCAGACGCTCGAGAGGCGTAGTCATCTGCCACAGTAGCACGTGCTCACCACATTGTCAGGCAGCACCCTGGATTTAATCGTTACTGCGAGAACTGAACTAATATTTTGAACTACATGTGCGAAAACAATCTACCAAGCTGTATTGGTGACAATTGAATTCTAAACCTTTATTTGAAAGCATGCCATTTCCTTTTTCAAAATGCCATGTTACTGAGTGTGTGCATGTATATTTCTTCACTGTGTGTGCTACAGCAATGCACTGTGACAAAAAACACACCATAATCAGCACTTACTCTGCATCGTCTTAATTTGACGCTAAAGAAACAAAGCCTGCAACAGTGACCGCCGAGCAGTTATGAGGGTTTAACATAACAAAACAAATGGAAAAGTATTCAGCAATGCTTTAGGTTAGCACAACGATCTGGATGAGCTGCTTCTTGATGACAATTTATTACACCTGGTAGACATGTCCCGCTGTCGCGGAAATGTGTGTGTCACGCTTCCAACTTAACTATTTCGTTACCACGCCTATGAAATCGATCACCGGTGATCAACGCTTTTGGATCAACGATTTTGGCATGTTAAATTTGTTTATCGTGCACCCAGCACTTTCTAAAAGTTAGTCCAGCCACTTAACTTTGAGAATCAATTTGAATTTGCCCATTTTTGCAACATAGTGATTTCTGACTGACCTTAGCGCGAACTAATGTGCGTGTATTGTTGAAAAAGTGCACTAGGCTGGCAAACTTGACAGAAGTGCGTACCCCTCGTGATTATGTTACAGCAATATCGAAGTTCTGTAATGAAAAGAACATTTGCAAGCAAAATATCAAATTAAAGTGTCAGCTTCGCAATTTGACTATGTTGAGCAGTAATAATTGCTCAAGCTTTTTGCCAAATATTCAATAGAGAGCTGTTCCTAGAAGTTGGGAAAAATTTGTTCTACAGAAGTATTTACGAAGGTCGGCCACGCATTGAAAGTGTCGAGGTGGCCTTCTCTGACAGTTTCCAGCAACTTTGGTTTTGCTTGCGCCGTTACATCAGATGCAAGGTCGCATCTTGTGTCACTTGTCGCTCCTATGACATCGTCGTCACGCATGCATGGGTGCGCACCAGCGCTGCAAAAAACATGCACTGCTCGAAACTGTCTTGCAACTCCACCTGAATTGAGTGAGAACGAGCTTAGAGTTTGAGGATGACAGCACCTCAGCTTTAAAGTTTATAAAGACGATGTTTTGTGTCAGCCTGAAACATCCGCATCCTTTTATGGGTTTGTTTTGCTTATAACCTCAAGTTGTCTCTTCCACTTCAAGTGCGTAGCTGCTGAGCCTTGTGCACGATCTTATAGCTACTCTGGTTACGTGCGTAGTCCATACTTCGCTGGGGCACGGTGTGCTGGCGCTGGCTGCAGAGCTCCTAATGGCAAGAAGGCTCCCGGAGCACATCTTGACGATGACCTTAGAGCAGCATGAAACAATTTAGAACTGCACGTGATATTGTGCTTTCTTTAAAATGATATGTGCAAAAATGCAAAGAAATATGCTTGGATGCATATATTGAAACGCCAACCTATGCTGAGTGAGGTGGTTCATGGAAAGAAATGACACTAGATGAATTACAAAGTTCATTGAACGTGCCATTTATAGAGGCATTATTCACATCACGGTTATTCATATATATTGGAACACCTGGAGACTTTTATCGCAAAAAAAAAAATTCACTGAAAAAGTGTATGATACACATGTGTATCACAAAAAACCATGCGATGCTTCACCCCATGGCATGAGCAACAAAGCAGCACCTCGGTTCTGATGATGAGTAGTTTTTAATGGCGCAAAGGCCAATTGATGGCCAAAGAGCGCCATTTCAATTGACTACAAATATGAACAATGATATGATGCGTGGCTGTAAAGGGGCCTTCAAATTCCTCGCGAGAACACGGGTTAAAACATAGAAGTAATAAAATCATGACAGTGGCGTGAGATATGTGTAGTGATAGCGGATGGCAAAATGTCATATTAAAACCATGATGAAGATGTAGTCACCGCAGCCACGACCATGGTACAGAGGTCGTGCTACGGATGACCTCGAAATATCGAGTGAAAGCTATGCACATCTTTTAAAAATGTGAAAAGTGTTTGCAGTTTAAAAAGCAGATCCCTACCGATGAGCATCCCAGCATGTAGAGGGAGCTCCTGTCGGTAGGGCAATAAAAAATGTTTTTTTCTTAGAGCATCTAGCTCATTGCACTGAACGAGAATGTGGAGAACCGTAAGGAGTTCTCCACATCTCTCACAATATGGTGGATTGCCGGTGGATAGAAGAAATGAATGTTTAGAATGTGTATGTCATGTTCTAAGCCTTGTTAGTATTACTTCTGTGTGTCGTGATTTTGATAGTGGCGGCCAATAACCTAGTTGCGGCTTAATAGCATGGAGATTATTATCTGTGTGTTTATTCCACGTGCTCTGCCAATACCCCCTGAACTTTCGTTTTGGGAAAGGTTTTAAGTCAAGTGCAGGGATTGGTATTGATGCATTGGGAGTAGTGTCGTTGGCGGAAGCAGCCAGATTGTCGGCCAAAATGTTCTCTTGTATCTCACGGTGCCCTGGAACCCAGCAGACGAGGACATGCTGTTTTGATGTGTACAGTGTGCACAGAAGTGAGTAAAGTGACACCAGCATGGGGTTCTTGTGTTTTTTAGGAATTTTCAGGGCTTTGACCATGCTTAGGGAATCTGTGTATATTACCGCCTTTTGTAATTTTATTTGTTTGATGTGTTTAACGACCGCCAGTATTGCGTAAGCTTCTCCTGTGAAAATGCTTGCATCAAGATGAAGAATGCCGGCCTCGGAAAAGAATTGGCCTATCGCTACATATGACATTGAAGTGTTTGACTTTGATGCATCGGTAAAGAACTCAAGGCATGTGTATTTATGTTGTAGTTCTAGGAAGTATGTATGTATGTGTGCAAGTGGTGCGTGCTTTGTGACTTCAACAAAAGAGACATCACAGTCTATATGCAGCCACTGCCACGGTGGCAGATAAGTTGCAGGAGCCATCAAACTGTGTTCAAGAAGAAGCACACCTGTTTCTTCGGCCAGGCCCCTTACACGGAGCGCGTAGGGCTGCCTAAATGAAGGACGTTTCTCGAACAAGCCAGAATAAGACAAATCATTGATTGTGAAATGGGAAGGGTGTTTCTTGTCTGCCTTCACCTTCAAGAAGTA